TTAGATTTAGTTTTGTTGACTTGATCAATTAGATTAAGTATTATCTTAATTTGATCTTTCAACAATTGGTTATATGTTATTTTATGATTTGGTGAAAGACGATTTTAAGAAATATTTTTTTTTTCATTATAAATATAACATATTGGCACATACAAATGGACAACAAATCACAACATAAATAAATTAATGATTAAACTACTATAACCTGTCTTTTATTTTGCATTTCTTGTACAAAATCTCATTAATTTCAAAAACTTTATACAAGGTTTCTCTTATTTTATAAATATGTTATACTTAAACTCAAAATATTTATCTTTTGTATAAATTTCACAAAATATTTGTTGCTACAAATTTTATCTGATCATTACAAAAATTTATTTCTGTTTCTATTTTACACAATTCTCTTTCTATTTTATAACTAGGTTGTAACTACATATATATACGATAGTAAAAAAATTTATTAAAAAACTAAACAATAAAAAAATATTAAGATAGCATTATATTAACATAAGAGAAAAAAAATAAAATAAATCATGATTTCATATATTTATAACATAACAATAATTATATTAACTTTTCGTAGCAAAAGTGTAATTAAAAATTAATCATTAAATTATTAATTTAATTAAACTAACTTTAAGCATTAAAATATAATTAAACACTAAAATAATTATTTTTAATTAGGATATTAATATTTTATGTGATTTCTTTTTTTGAAATTTCATTACAAAAGATTTAGAATTTGTAATTTTTAAGATATGAAATCATGATTTATTTTCATATATTATTTTAATGATATCTTAAATGTCTTGGTGTTTAATTATTTAATAATGTCAAATTTTTACTATCATGGACGAATTTAAATTTAAAGATAATATATTTCTAACATGGAAGGGATCGTTTTTATGCTGTTTAAGAAATAAAGTGTTTCGTGTAATAATGTACTTTTTGTTGCTGTAAAAAAATGGTTTTTTTTTTTTGTAAATTTAATACGAAAAATAAAGTTCTGGATTTATAACTTATAAGTACAACATCAATTTATAGAAAGGAATGATTTTATGTAAAATTCAGAAATAGAATCAACTTTGCATGGAAGTACGATTGAAGTAATTTACTTTATATCATTATTTTATTTTATTTTACTTGTCAATTTTTTATGCCAGGTTTATCCTTTTTAAAAGAATATTTTTATTATTAATTTTTGTTACAGTTTTATCATTTATCTTTATAAATAAAATGTGGTAAAATGTTAATGAATGATAATATTTTAATATAATATAATTAATTACTACGATAACCTTTTTGTTTTATATATATATAATTGCGATTATTTGCTTAAGTTCTTAATTCTTACATAAATATATTCATATATTAAATAAGAGATTTAAAGAAACAGTGCTTTTAATTTTTGTCAGGCTCTCATTAACTATTACTTTAAGGTTAATTATCGTTAAAAAGTAATAATACAAATTTTATTTTATTTTTGTTAAAATTCATATTAGAAATATATTCCCTTGATATTCAGTTTGATTTTTACAGATTAATTTTTAAAAAAATATATCTTCAAGATATTAATAATATTTTTAATTTTTAATAAACTGTCCTTACAATATTGGTTAACATTAATTTGTCTTTTTTTTTATAAAAAAAATTTATTGGTTCAACAATGAAGATCGTGTAAAATATCATGTATGGTAAAAGTATTTTATTTTATTTAATATAGTTATATTTCCATGTTCAAACATGAAATCACTAGTCAAATAATCCAAGTCAAGTTAAGCTGGTTAAATTGGACCACTAGTGTACACACAAACTAATAACATATTTAAAACCAGACAGGTTATAAAATAAATAAAAGATCGTTGTCCGTGACATCGAAGAGACTTGAATAAAAAGGCAAATTCATAAATTTCATTAATGAGTGATAGCAAAACAAAACAGAATGAATGCTCTTAAATCTGTGGTTAAGTTAGTTTCATGTTAGAGTATGAACGATGAGATTATTTAAAGTGCAATAATTTTGGCAGGAAAAGAGAAGACGCCACCCAGTTTTGACTGAGCCAATAGGTAGCTAGCAAGCTTTATTATCTCCAAAAGTTGGGTCCCCCCATGAAGAAAAGTGAATTGCGGAATTACCACGTTACCAATTAGGAAGTTGAAGCCAAACCTGGCCTATGAAGGAACATTATTTGAAAAGCAAAAAGTGCGTTCTAAATTAAGTCAGGTGGAAAAAACTGGACACCAGACCAACCAGTTATCCAGATGTCATGCATTTCTGTGTTGATTCATTATCTTATCCAAATCTCACCTTGCAGTGGGTTCTCATTTCTTGTTAACTAGATTTGCTAGAGTCAATAATTAGTAGCACACGCAAAATATTGTTGTTTTTTTTCCATGTTAGTTAGTACTTAATTAGTAGTAATACTTTAATGCTAGATCTTTGTTTGCGGATCGACATTAAATGTCTAAACCTAGTAATTCACGGTTGTGAAGGATAAAATAGCCCAATCTCACCACTCTCATTCCGTTTTGCCGCTCGCACACAGGGTTGTAGATTGTACTGTACTTGTCGTAACTAATAGGAGTATAGACCTGAAGTAAAAGCGCAAATCATCTCAGCCGCAAAAAATTAAATAAAAAGTTATATTTTAACATAAATAAAGAATTCAGTTCAAATAATTAAAAAAAATATATATTATAATATTACTTAGTATTTCCCAAAGTATCTTCTACTTAGTAAGGTATCTTCAACTTGGTTGCAATCATAGTATTTTCATATTAACATTGGTTAAAATATTTTTAATTTCGTCTTGATTAGCATGTCTCTCCAATTTAACTTCAATCATAATATTTTTAATTCGACTTCATTTAGAATATTTTTAACTTAACCTCAAATATAGTATCTTTAATGTAACTTTGATAAAAATTTATAATGCTAAAAGAGTTGGTCAAATTAATTATTAACGTCTCTTGACTAACCCTAGCCCACAAGACCTTGTGGGCTTTTTGACTATAATGACCCTTTTATATATTTTTTATTTTATCTTTTATAAAAAAAATTTACTCCAACTCATGTGTGCTTAGCTAAATGGGTTGAGTTTAATTATTTTGATAACTCTAGTAATAGCATGTTATATGTTAACTTTACCATACTTTTTTAAATACTGAAAGCAATAAATAAATTTATGAAATACATTAATTAATTTAATAGATTTTCATAATACAATTGGTTATATGCTTAAAAATATAATTATTTGCTAACTATACACATCATCTTGATTTATAATTGTTTAATTACTAACTTATACTTTTCTAAATTAACTAATTTGTATACTCGTTGAATGTATTAAATAACAAAAATTTATATATATATATATATATATATATATTAATTTTAAAATTTTAAAATAAATTTAGGTGATCAAGGCATCATAAATTAATTTTTGAATTTCATAATAAGTTATAATGAATAAAGATGATTTAAAAATAACACAAATATACCAATAAAAGAAACAAAATGTGAATATAAAATTTGAGAATAATTACAACATTAATCCAGTAATTTGATGACCTCAAATGTGATCAGATCATTCAATTTATGAAAATTCCATATATAACCTGATCAAATAGTTTACAACCTCAAATTCAATAAAAACATATCTCAAAAATCTTAAAAATAATAATAATGAATTTTTTTTATCTGACAAAATGATTTACATTACCATCTCTCAACCTTGTACCTTTCACCATTTGTTACCTTCTTCATCAACTGTCACTTGTCATCTCACTCACAAATAAATAACCATCTTTCATTTGTCTTGAGTTTAAGACAACACAAAAAAAACTCATTTGAAATCAATGTCATCTCATTTTTTTTATGTAAATCTATCCTCAAATAATATATGATGAAATAAAAATAAAAATCTAAAATAATAGAAGTAGTTTCAATGAAAATGAAGAGGGATTATATGAATGTACTTTGATTTGTTCATGGTTGAAAAATATATGTAGTTTGATTGGAAATAGAAAAATGTGGAGAGACAAGAAATTTGAGAATTGAAGATGCATGCAACCTATATTAATTTAACCTTATTATTTTTTTGTAATTGAGAATGTGAATGAATTTGTGTTAAATGCATATAAAAAATAGAGAATGTTAATAGGCAAAATTCATATATCAATTAATTTTCGTAAAATATAACTTATCCCGCATCAGAATTATACAGACAATTTTTTTTTTGGATGGATTTTAACGAGAAGGGGATAAAGTTGTGTATGGATACTCTATTTTCCCTTACTCATAAGTTAGTAACCCACAACCGTGTGCAATATGTCACCCACTATCTTTTTTCAGTTGTTCTCATTCTTTTATTTTAAATAAGTTTTAACATAAATATTTATAAATAACATCCATTGATTTGATAAACAACTCCTGCTATACATTCTTGATGCTTTTTCAACTTTCTATTTAAATAAAACAAATAATAGTTCTGACACCTTTTTTTATATAGGTCGCATTTTTTTTTGCTTCAATTAGTTACATATATTCAAATAATAAATACAAAAATGGAGTTTTAATAAAATAAAAAGAGCAAGAAAATGATGTGGGCAAAAATTAAAAAATTGGTTGAAAGCGGAAAGAGCACATGAAAATGAAGCAAAGTAGAAAAAAGGGACTTTAACGGAAATTTTCGAACATGATGATGATAAAGTAGAAAGGCAAGAGAATTAGCGAAAAAGATTGGGAGGAAAAGGACGGGATCGGATATCGTTGGAGAGTTCCCTTAACAGACCATAGACATTGGATCATGCAATATGCACGTATAAAGTTTGAACCTAGCTAATGCAAATTTCTTCATCCTTAGGTCATATTTATCATTCTCATAGGGATAATAATAATTAAATGAATAATATAAAAAAAAGGTAGCGCCAGGAATAGAAACTCGAAACTATAGAAGCCACTAAGGCAGTGTAGTGTTGTATATTGAGTGGGCAAAATTAGTAGTAGCCAGCTAATTCCTGAGACATGGACTTCACACCAACCAACCCCTCTCAGCTCTCACACAACGCCACAAAAAACACACACTCACTCACTTCCTCAGTGTCGTAGTAACTAACTAACCAGTGACTAGCGTCTAGCGTCATTTATATAAAGGTGCACATTACTAATCGCCACCACCAACCATAAATTTACCTCTCTCTCTCTCTCTCTCTAGAACATGGAATACGGAAGATTGGGACCGTCTGATCCTGGTGGCTCCTCGCGGATCAACGCTCCAAGATCTTCCGGGAATAAGAAGAGGATTATCTTTGTCTCACTCCTCGCGGTCTGTTTAATAGCGGCCTCAGCCGTTGTGGCTGTCGTAGTACGTGTCCGGGCGGACTCCAACGGGCCTGGGCCTGGGCTCCGGGGGAGGCCCACGCAGGCCATTTCCCGCACGTGCAGCAAAACGCGGTTCCAGACGCTCTGCGTGAACTCGCTGGCGGAATTCCCTGGATCGGCCACGGCGTCGGAGAAGGACCTCGTCCACATTTCCTTCAACGTCACGCTGCAGCACTTCTCCAAGGCGCTCTACTCCTCCGCCGCCCTCTCCTACGCCGCCATGCCCCCGCGCGTCCGCGCCGCCTACGACGACTGCCTCGAGCTCCTCGACGACGCCGTCGACGCGCTCGCCCGCTCCCTCGACACCGTCTCCGTGGGCGCGGTCGGCCGCGCCGACGACGACGTGCTCACGTGGCTGAGCGCCGCCCTCACCAACCAGGACACGTGCGCGGAGGGGTTCGCCGACGCCGCCGACGGCCCCGTGAAGGAGCAGATGGCCGGCAACCTGAGGGACTTGTCGGAGCTCGTGAGCAATTGTCTGGCGATATTCTCCTCTGCCGGCCCCGGCGACGACTTCGCCGGCGTCCCCATTCAGAATAGGAGGCGACTCATGGCAATGCGAGACGATAATTTCCCGAGATGGTTGAATCCAAGAGATAGGAGATTGCTGAGTTTGCCCCTGAACGCGATTCAAGCGGATATTGTGGTCTCCAAAGACGGTAACGGCACCGTTAAAACCATCGCCGATGCCATTAAGAAGGTGCCCGATTATGGTTCACGCCGCTTCATTATCTACGTCAGAGCTGGAAGGTAATTATTTTCTCATTTCAATTAATTAATTAATTAATTTTACTTCTCTCTAATTTAGTAATTTTCACATGATAATGATAGTACACATTTAAATATCGTTTTAGTTTTTTTTTTTTTAGTTAACAATTAACCGAGTGTTAAGAAGTCGTGGACTGGGGGCACCGTGGTTTGCGTGGTGGACTTGTTGGTATTAATCATCATGCTTGTACTTGACTCTCGACACTGTTATCACGTGAACGCAAACTCAACAATAATATTTTTTTTTTATTTTTTTTCTTTATCTTTCTTTTATTACGTCACAATTTATATATTTTATTTTCTTCCCGCTCTTGCACTTAAAAAGAAGTGTACTGATAACATTTTTTATGTAAAGATTTAATGATATTGTGATCAATTGATCATAATGAATTCCATGTGGCGCGGGACAATAGTAGTAATTTACTACTACAGTCTTGATGCCACCATCCTCGTTAATCGATTGTGACATATTATCGGTACTAAGAGTGTGTTACAAACATAGTAATTTAAATGTTGGTATATATTTTATAAAAAAAAATTGCGTGTGGATATATATAAACGCCAAATATATATGATGTGATATTGGTTTTAGCCGAATATATATAAATGAAACATGTTGGGTGATGGCAAGGTTGCCATAGATAGAAAGTGGAGATTTTTTTGTTGATGCAAATTTGATTTCAGGTATGAAGAGGAGAATTTGAAGTTGGGGAGGAAGAAAACAAATGTGATGTTCATAGGGGACGGGAAGGGCAAGACCGTCATCACGGGTGGAAAAAATTATTACGAGAACCTGACCACATTTCACACCGCATCCTTTGGTAAATTCTTTCTCTTTGTCCCCTGCTTAATGCTGCTTTCTTCAATTTAGTATAAACTGCTTGCATTTTATAAATTTTTATAAAAAAATATAAAATACAAGTGAACAAGATCTGAAATGTAAAAAGGAATGATAAAAGGTTTTCAAAATTAGAATAAAAAATAGGAAGGCCTGTGTTATCTTCAAAAAAAGAAAGAGAGAGAAAAACCACGAAAACAAAAGGTCGAAAAAATGCACGACATGAGGTAGACCAATACAAGTTGCACGTGGCCTGCTATTCTAGATTGCCATATTTAAGATTCCTTCTTGTTAAGTCGCTTTTCTACTCCAAGTGAGTGTTAGATCTCCACCACCATTTTTTTTTGTTTTTTTTCTTTCACTTGTTTGAAAAACAAGGTAAACGGACTAACAAAGTCAAAGTTCAAGAGAATACAAATTACTCAATTAATATACACCATTAAACATTTAAAGAAAGATTCCACACAGTTTTTTCTTGTGAGATCTCATGAACTTCCTCAAATTTACTTTCTTGGTAAGTTCTCCCTAAACAAAAATATACACTTTATTTATGAGAAATTCTATTTTGTTAATATTTTTAATAATTGTGGAGTACCGAAACAGTCATTTTATTTGTTTTTTATTTTATTTTTATAATTACTTGTTTTATTTTTATTTTAATTTAATATTTTTAATAATTTATCTATACTTTTATATTTTTTAATTTATATCTTAATATAGCATTTATTATAATTAAAAAGTTTAATATTAATATTTTGTTAATATGTTTTAATTTTTCTTTGGTGATAACTTTTTTAAATTTATAGTATAAATTAGTTTTTCAGTTATATTTTTTTTTTTAATGTTTTTATAATATTATTATAATTTTTTGTTTTTAATTTTTTAATTTAGTCAGATATAAATAAAATTTATTATGAAAATTGACCTTTTGATTATTTTGTTTTGAATTAGTCTTTTTGATTGATTTATTTTATATAAATTTTTAATCTAAAATTTATGTTATTTTAAATTTATTTTTTAAAATTTATTTGTTCACATAATATAATGTACCAAAATCTTTCAATTTTCACAGGTAGCATAGCAGTTGCCTTTATTTATTCCACAATGAGTAAAAATTCTTGAGCTATATATATATTTTGCGTACGTCTAGTTTTTATCTTTATAAAACTCTGAACTTTCTAAATTACAACTCACAAAAGTAAAAGGTATATTTTCGTCTATATTTTGTATTTTCATAATTAATTATAAAAGTTTCGCCTTACCTCTGTTTTGAAATTTTTGTACTAAAAATGGTGAAAATATCATTATGTCGTTTTCAGATTTTCTGTAAAAAAATAATGAGAGAAAACTTTGTCTCATATGAATCAAATTATCTAATGAGAAAATATTTTACGATTTTATTTTTCTCGTTAATTATCATAAAAACGATACATTTTTTTATACACTAATATTTGCATAAGAAATGAGAAAAAAGAGATCACACTAGCCTTAGCAAAGGAAATGACCCGCAAGTTGACCTCATAACCACGTAATGTTCTTAAATACTAATCTTATCCTCTAACGAAGGGCACCAAATTAAAGTAACGAAATCAAATTATTGTTAGTGGGTCATGCAGTGCTTGCGAAATCGATAAACAAAGTCACATATTTGTCGAGCATGAACAGAATACCCATAAAGACAAGATCACATTAATTCAGCTTCAACCACTAACACAAGTGCACACTTTATAATAATGCTAGCTGATCCTGTGGTGCAGCTGCTAGTGGTGCTGGTTTCATCGCAAAAGACATGACGTTCGAGAACTACGCGGGGCCGGGGAAGCACCAAGCGGTGGCCCTCCGCGTCGGAGCGGACCACGCGGTGGTGTACCGGTGCAACATCATCGGATACCAAGACACATTGTATGTACACTCCAATCGTCAATTTTTCCGCGAATGCGACGTTTACGGAACCGTGGACTTCATATTCGGCAACGCTGCGGTGGTTTTCCAAAACAGCAGCCTCTACGCTCGCAAGCCCATGGCCCAACAGAAGAACACCATCACGGCCCAAAACCGAAAAGACCCGAATCAGAACACGGGCATTTCGATCCACAACTGTCGGGTACTGGCCACAGCGGATCTGGAAGCTTCGAAGGGTAGCTACCCCACGTATCTGGGTCGGCCCTGGAAACTTTACGCTAGAACCGTGTACATGTTATCCTACATGGGGGATCACATACATCCACGTGGATGGCTCGAGTGGAACACTTCGTCGTTTGCTTTAGACACGTTGTACTACGGTGAGTACATGAATTCTGGGCCCGGTGCGGCGGTGGGCCAACGCGTGAATTGGGCCGGGTATCGGGTGATCACGTCGACGGTGGAAGCATCTAGATTCACGGTGGGCCAATTCATATCGGGCTCATCCTGGTTGCCGTCCACCGGAGTGGCATTCATTGCTGGGTTATCGACCTAAATTCCACGCTTCTGTTGACACGTTTGGATCTTGGTCCATATTTTAAACCAATTTGCCAATATGATTTTATAGATATTTTATTTTATTCGTGAATGTACTAAAGTACATTATAGTTTTTATTTTTTTTTAACCCAATGCTGATAATAAGGAATATAAGTTGTATGTAAACAGTGTTTAATAATGTTATATATAGCTCTTATTTTTGGCTTGCCAAAGTTATTGTTGTTGTTGTTGTCTTGTAGTAGCATTTTCATTTCACCGACAGAAGATAAAGGTAGTATCATAATTTATGCATTTTGACTTTGGGGGCATTACCACTTGCTTACATTTACACGCAAGCACATTGGCTATGTGACGTGTGGATCGGTGCCTTTTATTTATTTATTTTTCTAAAAAAAACAACTTGCTAACATTGCCTAAAGTTCTTGTCACTTATGTAATTTGATTGATTTTAAAACTGTTCCTGAAATACAAGACAGGATATAAAGAATAATAATAATACATATATTAGCCAATAAATTAAGACTTTTATTTTATTTTATCTGAGGGAATCAGTTTGTGGTCCTTCAGGAGCCTCCATTGTCCATTATTATAAGCTTGCTGTTTGCTGATTCTGTGGGGTGTCCTTCACCAGAGAGGCTACACATGGAGTAGTTTGGTTTTCATGTTTTTCCTTCACCTAATCTACTTTTTTACCGTTAAAACCTAATTTATGTCAATATTATAGTCATTACTACAATTACAGCCCCTCCAGTCATCGCTAAAATCATTAAGTCCACTTATTATTATTATTTTTTACATTTTTATTATTCTTGTTATTATTGTCAAATATCATTATTATCATTAGTATAGCACCTCCGCCAACTTTTTATAAGAGTAATCCTATCATTTATTTTGGGGGTCGACACCTTTTTAAGCATTGAACGACCTTGTCGCAAACTATGTTTCATAGATCTTATTTATTTGAAGCCCAACTAATATGTCTTTCACATAATTGGGAGCTTATACTAAAGGAGGTTTCTTGAAAATAAAATAATAATAATAATAATAATAATAATGATGATGATGATGTTAATGATATGATGATAATAATGATAATAATAATGATAATGTTAATGATATAATAATAATAATAATAATAATAATAATAATAATAATAATAATAATAATAATAATAATAATTGATGGGTTTCAATAAAAGGAATAACTCTTTATATTAATTAACATTGAGCTGAAATTAATTTATTTACAAAATATAGAATGCATTTGAATAAGTTTAAAAGAAGGATTAATTATACGATATTACAACTTTAAAGTTTTTTTTTTTTTAGAAACTACTATTACTACATTTTGAGAAAAACATTTTTTTTTCAAAATTATTTAATTATCATATTTTTTGTTGAGGAAAAATTACAGTAAATAGTGTCTTTTATCTCGCATTTTTTTATTGTGATTTTATATATACTTTATTTTTTGCTTATCTTTAGCAGATCTAATGCGTTATGCGAATTTTACACTTTTTTTCATCAGTTTGGCTTATTAACGCAATTGCCTGGAAAGCACGTAGGAGCATGCATGGCAAGCCATTAATTATTAATGGGAACATCAGATAAGATATCTCACAAACTAAGGGGTCCATCGTGGTCTTATAATTAATTATTAAATGTATAGATATAGATTAAAATGTAAAGTTATTGTGACATTATCACTACGTTAACTGTGTTAGAGGAAATTTAATGTATATAAAAAATGTTTATGTAAGGCTAAAAATGTAACTTTTAAGTATAGGGAGCAAAACATTAAAAATAATGTAATTATAAAAATCAAATAAATATATTAACAAATATATATATCGAAGTTTATTTATTTTTACATCCTTAAATATATTTTAAAATAGGCATCAACGGTTAAGAATATATGACCAAAGTTTAATCTATTTACTTCTCATAAACAATTCCTTTTAAAGGTGTGACTTAATTTATATAATTCTTGACCCCGCTAACATCTCTACTAAAATATCTATTTTATAATAATTTAATTAAGATAAAAATTAAACAAAAGTTAGTTTTTATAAAAATCAAGCATAATTTATTTATATGATATAAATATATTTTTAAGATCTAATATGATATATATGATGATAATTTATTTAAAAAAAATACTATAATAAGATCTTTAAATAAAACATAATTTATGGGTTTGTTTGTAATTTTTTTTTAATAAAAGTGTTTTTTAAAATAAAAACACTTTTTTATGTGTTTGTATAAATTTTTTTAAAAAAATAAATATTTTTCTGTTTTCTTTTAAGAGGCAACTACTATCTTAATTTTTTAAAAAATTATTTTTTTAAAAAACACTTATCTAGAAATACTTTTTTAAAGTTTAAATAAATGGATCCTATATTTCAATAATTTATAAGTTTGACTTATTATATATAATTTTTTATATTATAAAAAATGATATAATGATACTAAATACTAAATATTTATTTATTTATTTTATTTAAATTAATTAATTATAGATTTAATAAATTTTTTAAATGACTTAGAACCTAACATTTTCAAATAAATAAATTTTAATAAAAGCTTCAAACTAATAAATTTTTAAACAAATTTAGTCTAACTTAGACCTTATATAAAAATGATTTCCAAAAAATTATATTTTTGAGATTTTTTAAATAATTGTTTTTAAATATGAAAAATAAATATTTTTAATTTAAAATAAAAATAAAAATAAAAATATTTTGTGTACTAAAAACCCTATGAAGTGTTTCTGTAACAGTATAATTTATTTTCATCCCTGTATCTGTATCTCTGGACATGGATAATGGAGGAAGGTTTGGGAGATGAAGTATATAGATTATTAGAAGGTAAAGCAAGCAATCTCAACTTTTAGAGGACATTATGATACGGATGGATCAATTTCATTATGTCGGCAGTTCA